ACACACACACACACACACACACACACACACACACACACACACACACACACCAACTGAAGTGTTATTTTGCCACATTCACTCCTTTAGTCTTGGCACTTGGAGGTAGTAAAGAATCTGAAGTTTGAGACCAGACCAGCCTGGTGACATAGAGACTGCTGAGAGAAAGAGATGCATATTGGAATGAAAATGTTTGGACTGACAAGTAGCTAGAGAGCTATCAACGTATTCCTGATTATTGTCTTTTAAAGAGCACTTGGTGTAGTGCCAGTGCACTTAATACTCAATAAAGTTTTTACTGCAATAAATCAGAGTGCAATATGAGGTGAGAAAACCAAGAAGGCAAATGATTTATAGAAAAATACATTTGTGTTTTGACGTCTTATTTTAATTGGCTCATAGCCTACCAAGTTTTGTATGTTTTCTGACATGGAGACTTTTAGACAAATGAAATGTATGCACTTTATAAATGATGCAATTTATAATGGGACAGTCAAATGGTGACAGCCATAGACAGCCTGAGAACAGGAAGGGTGAAGTGCCGATCGGAAGATTACCACGTAGATTGCACAGCCGGCTCTGTCTGTGCCGGTTGGCCTTGTTTGTGCTGCTGCTCCTGCATGACACAGGGTCTCAGGCAGCCCAGGACAGCCTCAGAGTTCACTGTAGAGCTGAAGAGGATCTTGAGCTCCTGATTCTCCTGCCTCCATCTCCCAGTGCTAGATGACAGGTGTGAGCCACCACACCTGACTAGCAGTTGGCTTTAAGGAGCAGAATAGAATGTTGAAGAGAAGTGGTCAAGAGATGACACTCAGGGGAGGATGAAGAGAAAGAAAACCAGAGAGCCTCACAGTACAAGACAGGAGCCAGAGACTGGGACAGCACAGCACTGCACAGATGTAGCAGGACTGCAGAGGAGGCCCGAGTGGAGATACAGGCTGCAGTTGCATTCTCACAAGTAGCTTTTGAAAGAGTAATGAGGTCATGGTGTGGAAGCCAGGCTGCAGGATACAGTAAGAGTATTGAGGGAGGAAATGAAGGGAAGACAGAAGCCATTTGCTTTTTGCATGCCATGGGCTGTGTAGCAAGCTAGGAATGCACATTCCTTAATGTATTTTCAGTTTTTCATGACTCTTTAACCATGGCTTCCACAACTAGTGTCAGAGTTCCTACATACACAAAACTAAAATTTTTCCCTTTATTTCTTTCATCTTGAAACAGATGTGACACTCAATTCTCTGGTGTCTGAAGCATTTGTCAGGTTTTTTGTGGAACTCGTGGGGCACTATTCTCTGAATATGACTGTCACGGAGCGTGGGGAGCGTGTATTCCAGAGGGAGCCGTTCCGGAAGTCCCACACTTCCCGAAGTGTCCGCCACTTCCTAGATCTCTTCATGGAGACACAGATGTTTGCAGGATTTGTTCAGGACCGGGAGCTTCGGCAAAGTGGAGTTAAAGGTGGGTTTTACCAGGAACCATTGCCTCCTTATCTGATGTCTTAGAGCTCTGTTGGTATGAAGAGACACCATGACCACAACAGCTCTTATAAAGGAAAGCATCAAATTGGGACTGGCTTACAGTTTAGATTTAGTTTATGGTCACCATGGCGGGAAACATGGTGTCATGCAGGCAGACATGGTGCTGGAGAAGGAGCTAAGACATCTACATCTGGATCAGCAGGCAGAGACTGAGACACACTTCCTCCAACAAAGCCATACCTGTTCTAGCAAGGCCACATCTTCAAATAGCGCCACTCTGTGTGAGGCTGTGTGCGCCATTTTCTTACAAACCACCACATTTGGTGGAGTCTTAGAAGGATTGAATAATAGATGTGTACACTATCAAGGCACATCTGAGTTACTGTGGGATTATCTACAATACTGTTCAATTTAAGAATAATAGACTCAAGCCGGGTGGTGGTGGCGCACGCCTTTAGTCCCAGCACTTGGGAGGCAGAGGCAGGCGGATTTCTGAGTTTGAGAGTTCGAGGCTAGCCTGGTCTACAGAGTGAGTTCCAGGACAGCCAGGGCTACACAGAGAAACCCTGTCTCGAAAAACCAAAAAAAAAAAAAAAAAAAAAAAAAAAAGAATAATAGACTCGGGGCTGGAGAGATGACTCAGTGGTTAAGAGCACTGACTGCTTTTCCAGAGGTTCTGAGTTCAATTCCAAGCAACCATATGGTGGCTCACAACCATCTGTAATGGGATCTGATGCCCTCTTCTGGTGTGTCTGAAGAGAGCTACAGTGTACTCATATACATAAAATAAATAAATCTTAAAAAAAATAATAGGGTATAGTAAGAACAGGATTAAGGATACAGAGATGGCCCATCCATTAAAGGTGCTTGCTAGCAACCCTAACAGTCTGAGCTTTATTCCTGGACTCAGTGTGATGGAAGGAGAGAACAGACACCCACAAGTTGACCTCTGCCCACCTCACACACATACATAAAAGGATGAACACACACACAAAGTTAAGAAAATAAACAAGTAAAAATTAGATCATTAAAGAAAAGACTTGTCTTAGGCTTGGAGTATATTATGCTCAGTAGTAGAGAACCTGCCTAGCATGTACAAAGACCTGAGTTTTCCCACAACACTGCTAAAAAGAGGAAAAAAATGTTTTAATTAGGGATTTCCTGCTGTGAACAGACACCATGTCCAAGGCAATTCTTAAAAGGACAACATTTAATTGGGGCTGGTTTACAGGTTCAGAGGCTCAGTCCGTTATCATCAAGACAGGAGCATGACAGTGTCTAAGCAGGCATGGTACAGGCAGAGCTGAGTGGTCTGCATCTTCATCTGAAGGCTGCTAGTGGAAGACTGACTTCCAGGCAGCTAGGATGAGGGTCTTAAGCCCATGCCTACAGTGACACATCTACTCCAACAAGCGCCACTCCCCGGGCCAACCATCACAAAAAGGAAAGGTTTAATTTAATTGGTTTCCAGGCTGTCTTGTTGAATAGTCTCACCGATGTCTTCTTCATAGGTTTGTTTGAAGTCCGGGCTCTTCAATATTTGGAAACAATTCCTGAGTCAGAACCCAGCGGGGTGAATAGAATTTTACGAAGTCTTGGTGAGTCACTTTGCCCTATTGGATAATTAACCCTGTGGTATAAGTCCCCAAGTCACGACCATGCAGCTTCTCTAGGTTGGGGATACTTAAAAAAAATAGTTCTATTTACCAGAAAATAATGTATTTAAATATACAGATAAATTTTTGCGTATAATTTCAGGGTGTCCATGGACTTAAGACTTAAAATCCCTGGGGGATGGGAAGCAGAAGGGGATGCCTCAGTCCAATTCTGCATTTTATAAACATTATTCCTTAGGATTTTTAAATTCCAGACTGATGTGAGGACAGTGGTGTGCCTGTCACAAGACAGTGGCCTTAAACTATGAGCTCTGGAATGTATGCCCCTGATTAGACCCTATCCTTAACTAGCTGAGAGGCTGTGGCACATTATGCCGCAGGCTGTGATTTCATCCACACCTTGGGTTAGATTAGATAAGATGAGAATCTTTAGGGACTTTAGAAAGGTCTCCCTTGAGCATTTAGAAATCTCCAGGGAAAGCCGGGCGGTGGTGGCGCACGCCTTTAATCCCAGCACTTGGGAGGCAGAGGCAGGTGGATTTCTGAGTTCAAGGCCAGCCTGGTCTACAGAGTGAGTTCCAGGACAGCCAGGGCTACACAGAGAAACCCTGTCTCGGAAAAAAAAAAAAATCTCCAGGGAGTGAGACAGGTAATTTGAAACTCCAGTCCAGTTGAAAACCACTTGTGTTAGATTATGTCTTGAGTTCTTTTCCACCTCTACAATTAGACATTCATGGGGTTTTTTAGTGGCTAAACCCATCAACTAATAGCTTTCCATTAGTGAAACAGAAAGCCTAAAGTAATAAAAGTGAGGCTCTAGAGCAGTGGTTCTCAGCCTGTGGGTCACGGCCCATTTGGCAAACCTCTGTTTTCAAAAATATTTATATTACAACTCATGACAGTAGCAAAATTACAGTTATGAAGTAGCAAAACTGATTTTATGATTAGAGGGTCACCACGACGTTACCCGGTCTCCGCATTAGGAAGGTTGAGGACCACTGTTCTGGAGGCTTATTTGGACTTCTAGTTTGTCGAGTTTCAGCCCATGGCTGATTGGCCTTGATGCTTTTGGGCCTGTGGCGAGACCCAGGTAGAAGAACATGCTTGTGTCATGACTGGACACAGAGCCAGGAAGGGACCAAGTCTGCAAAGGCACACTCATGACCAGGTCTCCTCCCTCTAGGCCCCACCTTTTTAAGGTTCCATTACTTTCCAATGGTGCCACAAGCTGGGGACCAAGCTCTTACACACAGGACTTTGGGGAACACTTATACAAAAATGACATTAGACAGCGCTTGATGAGGCACAAGGCAGCTAACCTCATGTGTCTCTGAATGGCTAGGTTACTAGTCCACCTCGAGTGGCTCTGAATGGCTAGGTTATTAGTCCTTTGGCTCAGGTACAACATATGAAAATGAAGTAAGTTCAAAGACTTTTTCTCTTTCCAGGAAGCAAAATGAGATTTCTTCATAAGAAATGAAATCTTTTCTTCATTCTAAGCATAACTGAAAGTGCCAAAGACAGTATTTTCCCAAGGATCTGGCTGCTCTGTAGAGTCCTGTAACATCCTTGTGACTGTAAAATGAGAAAGATTGCCGGAATGACTCCTGTGCTGCAGACCAACTGGGAGCAGTCTAGAACCAGTGCGCTCTCTTCTCCTTCTGATATGGGGTCTGTTTGTTTGTTTGTTGTTTGTTTGTTTTTGAGACAGGGTCCCTATATATAGCCCTGACTGTGATGGAACTGACTCTGTAGATCAGGCTGGCCTCAAATCCTGATGTCACAGATCTCAAAGATCTCACAGAGATCTGCCTTCCTCTGCCTCCCAAGTGCTGGGATTAAAGGCAGGTGTCACCATGTCTGGGCAAGTTATTTTTACTGTGGTGTTTTATCTTTGGCTATTGATGGGTACAAGAAGTTCTGCTTTGTGCTTAGTCTATGAAAGCAGTTGCCCTTTACAAGAAAAAGACTCAGAAATACTTGGTGTTGCATTTTCTAAAAACAATGCAAGGATGAGATTATCAGAGTAACAAGAGAATAATGAGAGTTTCAGGTACTAGAGAGACAGACATGGAGGACACCATGGTCACACGATTCTCATCACTGAAGCATCAGGTTGTTTTAAATCTATGGACCATTTGTGCTTTCAGATTCCAGTACTGTCAGAATTTCACTCATGTTAGAACTTTAAAAAGCAGATACCATGGAGGGATGCAGGACCTCCTCAGAACACATGTCCTGCTGGGATAGCTTGCTTCTCACATGTCAGCATTATGCTTTATGGAATGGAGCCAATATGAAAATGTCCTTTTAAGGACATACTATCTGTTTATTGTTTTGGTGTCTAAAATTTGCAGTTCTGTGATAATCTACATGCCATCTTATTCAAGCTTTAGATCAGCTTCATGATATTTTACAAGAAACTGGAATACAGAGAGGCTAAGTAACTCAGCCAGTTATATACAAGATATAGCTAAGCCAAACACTTGACTTACGAACACATGCAAAGCTGGTTAGTCCTACAGATCTAAATGAACTGTTTATAGTGATGTTTAAAGTTCTCTGTGGAGCACACCAGAGCTTCCTCTTGGCTCTGATGAGACTTTAAACTATGGGTGTCTGTGCAAGGATTGTTCCTATGTTTTTTCTTCTGATGCTGGATATAAAACCCAGGGCCTTCTGTGTGCTCTGCCATGGTGTTTATTTTTACATCGGTGTGAGTTTTTAGTGTTTCCTAAGCCTATACCTCTTCATCAACCAGATGCTGAAAATCTAAAGTAGGAGTAGCGGCTGGGGAAGGGAGTTTGTCAGTGACGGTGCAGTTTTCATTGATAAGTGATAGATGTGGTAAATGTCAGTTGTTTTCTGTAATCTCTGCTCAGGGCTTTGCCTGGCATGGAAAATAGTCATTTAGACTTGGAATGTTTGTACGTTGTATTGGGATACAACTGACTGACTTGTACAGTATTGTCATTGTTACTCGAGTAAGTGTGTCTGAATGAATCCACTTAAGACTGGTGCTGTGCGGGGGCTGGAGAGATGGCTCAGTGGTTAAGAGCACTGACTGCTCTTCCAGAGGTCCTGAGTTCAATTCCCAGCAACCATATGGTGGCTCACAACCATCTGTAATGGGATCTGATGCCCTCTTATGGGGTGTCTGAAGACAGCAACAGTGTACTCATAAATAAAAATAAATTAATTAATTAATTTAAAAAAAAGTCTTCAAAAAAGAAAAAAGAAAAAAGTCTGGTGCTGTGCAATATAGTTCCTAGATGTGGGTCCAGAGAAGAGAACTGAGCCTGTCTTTTAAAATGTTAATGCAGCTCACCTCAGTGGAGCTCCTCCCAGACATCTCTCATTCGCTCTCTTCTTACACTCCAATCCCAATGGAACAATTCATAATCGATTGTGTATAAGATGGGACAGGAGGGTTTACTGTGGTCAATCCTGACTGGCTCTCTGCAGGGAGACTTTGCTTTTTGGAGAGTCTTACCTTCTTACAATCTAAAGCTACTTCCTTTCATTGAGTTTGTTGTAATTTGTGTTTGTAAATGTTGTGAATTCTAAATATGTTTCTAAAAAGAATTGTTCAATATTTCTATTAAATGTTTACAGATCTTTTAATGAATAAAGGCATTTTTTAAAATCCCACAGATCTCTTGGAGAATTTAAAATAATGCACTTAAGATGTGTAGTAGTTACTTTTCTGTTGCAGTGATAGAACACTGGCCAAGCAACTTAAAGAAGGACATTTACCTTGGCTTACGGTGCCAGGGCTGAGAGTCAGTTCTGGTGTAGAAGCATGGCACCAACATGAAGGCAGGAGCAGGGAGAGTTCACATCTTCTTTTTTTTTTTTTTTTTTTTTTTTTTTTTAATATTTTTTTTTTTTTTTTT